CTCGGAACTCAAGGGAATAATTTAATTTTATAGGATAGTTATTTAACACCAACGCTTCTTCTATCTGTTTTATTTCATCGTTTAGGTTTTTGTTGTACTTCTTATGTGTTATTGCTCTGTTTGTTAGACCCTTAACTTAGCCTGCCTTCCCAGATAACGCATGAGATGAATTAAAGTGTAAACATCTCTTAGAATGCGTTGGCTTTTTATGAACGCTAGTGTGCAGTTTATCACCTTCTGTTCGTTTTATTTTACAATCTAACATAGCTAATTCTCCTTGTTCATTTTCCGATTCAAATGTGAATTTTATCCCCTTACTAGTGAGTTCATATGTGTAAAGATGCTAGAGATATACTCTCTTTCAACACTGTGAAAGTGTCATCCATATATCTCCACCATATCTTTGAAGTAGGATTAAATGTATTAAGAGCAATACTTTCCCAGTTATCCATAGAGATATCCGCTACGATTTCCGATATTTTTTTTTTGATTTACAGCTTGATTCCACACTGTATTTTTGGTACAAGTATGGAATTTTCAGCACGGATATCGGTAGCCCAAATTTTGCAGGCCGACCATAGATATCAGGTGTGCGCCGGCGTGGGCTCGAACCCCGGACCATGTGCATGGTCGGCGAGAGTCCTAACCACTGCGCCACCGACGCACTATATTGGTGATCCTATTGCTACACCTTCTGTTTGTCTATATATTTTGCCTTGGAATTTAAAGATAGTAGTGTAGCTGAATACATCATTTCAGACATAAAAGTACACAGAATATTTGAAAGTATTGATCATGTCCACAAAAATAGTTAGCGATTTTCGATATGGTAATTTACTATCTCTTCTAGCATAATTCTACACATACATGCAACTTATCTGAAAGGAGAGTTAACCAGTTTTTTTTATTTCCTGCATATCTTTAAAATTAATTGATCAATCGGATATGTTTCATCATTTACTTCAAAATTGACATTTCTAAGGTTATGATAATCAAATGATAAGATCTACTTAACCGATGAAACAGATCAACCTTGCAAACTGAGTAACATGTCCATACACACAAAGATATCACTATGGTACTACAATTTCCGACATTTTGTCAACCTAGAGTTTACACTCACTGTTTTCAAACTTGTCACATGATGCCTTATTAATCAGATACATTATGTTATGTATGGTAAAGACCATTTTCATTTCCACCTATGATTACCTTCACTTTCTATTACAACTAACTAACTAACTAACTAACTAACTAACTAACTTTCTTCTAACTTATTTTTAGATTAGCCGCCTATTTTATTAAATTTTAATAGTTGGACTATATCAAAATTTGTTTTTAAATTTTAAGACAAGAAATATAATTCAGTTAGACATTCTCAAGGTTTAACATAGATATTTATAACAATGGTAATAATAGTAATAATAAGGTTACCTGGAACACAAATAATAATGAATAAGAACAATGAAACCAACCTGATTAGATTCTAATCAACTCACAATTGAAAGTAGGTCAAAATGGTAGGTAGCATAAAATTAAAAACTTAACATGATGATAAAGAATTCAATACAGTTAGTTAGATGACTAAATGGGTTTATATACTAGTTGCAGAGGAAACAGTGAATAAATGAAGAAAAACCACACCTGGATGTAGTGAAATTCTCAGCAAAATTTCTAGTTAATCAAATCATTCTTGGATTTTTGCATATTATTGCCTATCTGTTTACTTAACTCTTTTTTTTTATTTTTATTTTCAGGTGTATGCAAAAGGCTTTTTTTTTTACTGATGTTGTTTATCTAAAGAAGAGACTAGATACTTAAAATGGAAAAGTATCGTTCAGTATTAACTAATTTGGAGATGAACAGTTGTAAGATGACACGAATGTTGACAATGATCTAATATAGGACTTTAACCAAATTGGTTGTATAAGAAAGAAGTAGGCTTAAAATATTTCAAGTTGTATTGCTCAGTTAGAGAATAAAGTGAAACTTATGTTCTGTAGACTGTGATTTTCAATACAAATCTAGTTGCAAATTACCAACCACTACTAAGTCATACACTCAATGACCTAAAGTACTTTACCTAAAAAAAAAATTTTACTTTCAAGTATTGGTTTGTAGGGATTCGACTGGTCACAGGATTTCATCATGAGCTGATGTACGGGCTCGCCTTGTAACCAGAATGTCCTGGGTTCGAATCCCAGTGGGTGAGTACTGATGAATTGTCCCAAACTAGGACGAAACAGCTGTCCAGTACTCCCAGGTTTTCCAATGGTTCTCTAACTAATGTCAGCTCATGATGAAAAAATTTGACTGTTTATGGAAATTATTAGTACGATCGGTTTTTGAAAGATGACTACGCCTTATTGTACTGCACTGATTCTGATTATACCTCAACCTTTCAGCAAACAATTGACAATCGGAGCACATTTGTTCTCTTTTCATCAGAACAGTTCTACAGTAAGATATTTTGATTTCAATGAAAACAGTGGTTCCGATACACCAAATCAACCGGCACCTTGTAACTATTGCCCACTGTACTTCTAATTGATCTATGTTAGGATTAAGAAATGGAATGTTGCCTAAGCTAGGTTGAATACCATTCAGTTACCAAAGAAACAGAAAGCAAAACAGTTACCGAGTACTTTTTTTAATGAGAAATCCACTGCATTTTTTCAATGGACAATATTAACTGACGTCACGCTGAACTAGAAAAGAGTTGAGCATGGTAACGCTCAGATACATAACACCAACATCTTGTTCTTTTCCCTCTAATATCTCGATGGGTATTTTTCATGAAGTTGATTGGTTTCGGGGTATTTTTCGTCAAAATTAATCATTATCGACTAGAGAACCTATTTACAGGCCAAGATTACAAGTCATCAACTCCTTACTAGTTTGAGATTGGTTAACATTCCACAGTCACAAGTCAGTGGTTAGTTCAATGGGAGAAACTTTAATTCAAGAGAACACTAAGGCAATCGTCAGTGTACATATGAGACTAATTCTTTATGGGCACGAATGAGCCCATTAGGCCTCCGCAGCAATATCTCACTAAAGAATGATGTACTAAAACACTTAGTTGTAAACCAATTAACCTGCTCTTGACTAGTTCCAAGAATTTTCTAAAGCCAGCAGATCGCCTACTAAGTGCAAAGTTGAGATTCTTTTCTTCGACTCTTTCCTTTACAAGAAAAACGTTACTTAACCACTATCAGTCATATTGCATAATACAGTGACAGTTCGCTAATTCTACTAACTATATACATGTAGTTTTCTAGTCTCAGTTACTGCCATCATCTACTGTTTATTGAGGTCAATCTGCTAAATATATACAAAGGAATAATTAGCTTCCGTGGAAAAGTGACTAAAATAAATTGGTGTATTCCTGTCACTGTAAATATGTATGAGTAAAGATTGAAAATGAGAACTACACATTCCCATTGAATGAAACATCATGAAATTAATGCATAGCTCAGTATAAATCCCTGCTCTTAATGCGCACAACACAACTGAAAAACAGTCATTGCAATCATAACGAACAAAAGCTATTCAAAATATTTCTAGGCAACTAGAAGTGATCATCGATCTGACCATTCTGTTCTTATCACCAATGAAATGTTTGATCTATACAGATTCATATTGTCTGTACACACAAAGTAGAATTCGTTAATTCCCTGATCTCTGTTATAAACTATATGGACACTGACTCAATGAGTCCTTCAGGATGTTAATAATGTTTAACTGGACTAAATTCTCTACTCCAGGCTTCATTTTGATCTATCTGGATATTTTGCTACCCTCTATACCTGTATTGTGTGACAGCTGAGTTTGCTAGAGATGTTCTTTGCATCTTGTTAAAAATTAAATAGAATTACACCTTATAAACTGATTTCGAAATTCTAAGAAACATATTCCAATCTTGTAGAATACAGACGATAATTTGATGAATAGAAGCGCGCTTTACTATGGATACTGGTAGATTATTTCTTTGCCTTATTTCTCAATTCAACAAACCTGACTGACGGAATTCAGTCTGCACCAGATAAAGGACTAGACAAATCACACTAGTTACTAGTGTCCAATCAAAGTATCCACTACAGTCCTACAGGAGGTCAATCGCGATCACAAATAGGTCAGTAGTAACGTCCCTGGCTGCAGTACTGGACGACGTGGGTTCGAACCTCAGAAAGGTCATGAATTCCTTGAAGGTTGCAGATACACCTCGTTGATGAGTGCCAACTAGCATGAAACCTAGGTCCACGACTTCCTGCCAACTGCCTCCAACCATCCAACATCAAAAAGCTCTTGAAAATTCCACTTACACTGAACCATTAGTCACTTAATATCGACCACCGATTGGTATTTATTATATCTATAGTCAACTGATGATACACGAAATGTTAAAAGACACTAATTTACCTAGTGCTGGCAAGTAATTTCGAACTTTGATATGCAAGGTTGAATAAAAAAACTTATAGTTTCAAAGTGATTCTTGTCCTTCTAATTGACGACAACAAATCTGTCACTTCCTTTTGTGATATGCCTACCAAAATGTTTTATATTTGAAATTAATGCGGAGTGATAAGGAGAACAAATATAATAGACTAAAAGAAATAATAGCGCATCAGTGGTACAGCGGTAGAATGCTCGCCAAACACGCAGGTGGTTGGGGGTTCGATCCTCGGCCGACACACTCCTTTACCTCATTAAGCCAGGAATAAGACTGGTAAAGAGGAGTGCATGAGGCTGCCAACCGCATACTGTAAAAATGAAAACACCACTACTACCGGAACTTCAAAGCTCTAGCTTGAAGCCCTTTGTTTTACTAGGAACGTAAAGGAATAATCGAAATGGGAAATCTAACTTCGATAAGTGCTATTTACATCAACAATGCGATAATGCATAATAGAAGCATATCTAAACCCCTGATTATAATATTCTTTTCCTTATTGTATAGAGTGTATACCGTGCATTTAAGAGAATACTTTCCCCTGTGTACATAACGAAATACAAGTGGACAAATCAATTACGCTTTCAATGCACCATTTGAGATTTTCAAGCTGTAAGGAATTAACACGGACTGATATTTTTTTAAATGATACATTTTTTATCTACTTGTTCATCACATTTTATTACAGAAATAAGAATTTCATATCACAAAGAGAGAGGAAGGAAACAATGAACGCCTTGTAGAAATCAATTCATAACAGAGACAGTAGTATAGAAATAATAAACAAAAATTGTAAAAAACTCCAGATTACAGTGAAAAAATACATTACATATATAATATAAAGTTAGATAGGAGTGAGACCAGATTCCAATAGTTTCATATCTTCATCTACCATAAGTTTAACAAGGTCTTTGAAACCACAAGTAGGCTCCCATTTCAACACTTCTTTAGCACGAGTACAATCACCCAATAATTCATCCTATTAAAAAGAAATATAAAATCCAATAAGAGAACAGAAAGAAGTAAAGAAACGGTTGTGTCTAAAGATATAATCACTACGAAAATCCAACCGACATTTTAATGACTTTTAAATAACGCATGCATGTGTACATGCAATGGCGAAAAATGCAGGTATAATAAATATCGTAAAAGCGCCCACCAACTACTCACTGGGGTCCGTGGTTCGATTGTATACCGACGCACTCTAAAGCCTCGCTTAACCAGTAATAAAACCGATAAAGATTGAGTGTTAAGCGTGAGGTTAACCACCCCACCCCGTAAAAGAACAACATTTTTTACTGAAACTTCAGATATCAAGCTCAAAACTCTATGTTCCACTGAAAATGCTAAGGAATATAATAAAAGTAATAATAATATCATAAATTTTTGTACTTACCACTTCCGCTGGACGGAAATACCGTTCATTAACACGAACAAGAACCTTCCCTGTAGCTGAATCAATACCAACTTCATCAATACCAGTACCCTTCCAACTAAAATTGAGAGAAACGTTTCAATTACATGAATAACTTGAAAATTGCTTGATAAAACTGTCGGTTTAACACGAAAAATACAATTTTAAAAATTTCAGAAGAAACAGATATTGTATGATAATTGAAAAATCGAATATAACTGATTCCGTGTGAAGAATTCAGCCTCCCTGATATAAGGACTTCACATTATTTTATGTTACTTCAAACTATCAGTCTTCACTTCATGAAGATAAGAGTAAATAAGTGTTAGGAAGAATGAATTTGTAAAATTACTGACTCGAATAACGATGCATAAAATGTTACAAAGAAAAGAGAAACGATAATGAGACTAACAAGAATTCAGTTTATTGGGAGACGAAAGTACATCCCCATCACTGATATCAATTATTGGAAGATAAGTTACTCATTATTAGCTGTCTGTAGAGTGTTCTGTTCCAATCACCAACAGCTTAATTCGGATTAACAATGCACGCTGAAATGCAGTACAGCGTGTGACTTATGATTTCATAATATGATTCATTCTCCTCACTGCACGTACCTCACACCCAACTTTTATACTCTTGACATAATGATTCCACTACACAAAAATTCGACAGGAGAAATAAATAAAACTTGCTAAACACAGAAATCCCTAAGCGATATACGATAGCAGGAAATGGTCACTATTAGCAATCTGTATTATGATTTCAGTCGAAAAATATATCCCAAAACTGGAAGTTTTTAAGCGAGAATAAAAAGTATTGTTACTTGTGGATTGTACTGATCACTAGTTTACATAGTCAAGTGCTTTCTAATTCTGCTTTTACCACAGATTAAAGCATACGTTAAAGTAATTTTATGAGACGGCCACATATATGTATAAGTAAAATGTGATAACTATGGAAAGCAGCTGGGAATAAATAACAAAACTTTAACATTGTAGATACGAAGGCATTTGTTCATTTATACTAAACATTTAGTCCAACCAATGAAAAAATTGGAATTGCACGTCTAACAGGATTACCCCATAATATAATAGTTCACAGAGCTTCATAAAAAATATATCTCAATGAGACTATTTATATAGTTCAGTAATAAAACCTATAGGTATATCATGCAATCATCGTAGTGTGCAGAACTTCGCACAAAGGTGCAACAGCCCGGGTAGTAAAACTGCATAAAGCACAAATATAAAGGAAGAGATAGAAAAGAAACGCAAAGAATCCGTAAAAAGCGAAAGTGTACATGAAGTATAACCACAAGGAAAATAGTGATAATTTGGTGGATCTGGGGGATCACAGAGTGACAGATTATTTGTAAATATAAATATCACTTTATCAGCAGGAGAAATGAATTCTGTTAGACGATTGCGGGTGAAAAATCAAACAAAAACATACCTACACTACTGACATACTTTTATTCAAATGAGAGTACCAAACAATAAAAAATATTCGAAATAAGAAATTCACAAAATAACAAGTGACTGAAATCAAAGCAAACATTTAGAAACAAAATGAGCTTAACACTGCAAACATTTACTTACACTATGTGGATTCCAGCATGTTCGAAAGCTAAACTGGTGAATTCACGAACAGAATGTTTTTCCCCAGATGCAATAACGAAATCCTCTGGAGTATCACGCTGAAGCATAAGCCACATGGCCTTAACGTAATCACCAGCAAAGCCCCAGTCGCGTTCAGCATTCAAATTTCCTAGTTCTAAAACGTCCTATAAATAATAAATCGAAATGGTTGCACATAACTTACATCACAGAAGGTAACCGACAATTTTATTTTAGAAATAAGACATTCACTATGATACATACGACAGATTTTAGTTTAACTTTGTATCAACTCACGAATATTATGGCAAAAAACTGTCGTACTCTATTATCTAGTCATTTTTAGCCAGTTTTTTGTAGAAAAGTATGAGACTATTATGTGGGGTTACAAAGAGGTGAATGAAACCAAGTCCTGGTATGATATGGTTAGGTAATTATGGAAATGAAATTAGTACATTTGATTTCAGATGCCAAATTTTGATTATTTGATTACTCTAAACACATTCATTTCGTGCTAAAACATATACTTTCTGTTACTGTCAATTAGGTAAGTTTCTCAGTCTAAATTAAAGTTTTAGTACAGATAAATGCACTTCTATGAATATTTTTATGCTGTTCTGATTATTTGGAACAGAAATACATACTCAATTAGTGTTGGTTTTTTAAAATAGATAGGATACAAAATTCATGTAATGTGTGACACTTTGCAAATTATTGGTTTTCAGAGAACAGATCCGGAGGGGACAGACTGAAGGGTAATAATAGTTAACATACTAAACGATTCACAATTACAAACGATCACGTTTGTTTATGAGCATTTCGAAACAAACAACAGGAAAAGCAACAATTCATTAAGTAAGAGATTCATACTTGTAAACCCTTTTTAATTCGCACAACTGCTCGTGAAATTTTTCTGGTAACAAAAGTTTCACCTCTCCGAGGACTTTCATGATTGAAGAGAATTCCGTTGCAGGCAAACATTCCATATGACTCCCGATAATTCACAACAATCCAAAAGGCATACAGTTTAGCGACACCTAAAGAGAATAAGTGATTCAAAATTAACATATTTTACAAGCGAAATAGTAAGCTAAATATATTTTGTTTTAACGAAACGTTTTTAATACTTAAAAGGATATTTTTAAAGCGTATGCCTTAATTTTCTTATCAGAAAAATAACAATAAATGGATTATATCAGACTATCAGGGTGTTACTGTCCGTTGGAGCTTGGAAAAATTCACTAATTTTTACTTAATTATTTGCCCGCACATGCTTGTTAATCGAAGCACTATTCCATTTATCTTCCCTGATTTTTCGCACGTTTTAGACTGTGGAAATTTCAACTGATGAACTTCTATGGATAATCTTAAGCAGAATTACCAATCAGCTGTCTGTCCATTAGTTATCTGAGACACCATCCATAGTTTGTGTGTTAAAACATTATATGGACTAAAATCCCTTAAACCTTTAGAGATCTATGGCACAACAACAGTCTAGATAAGAGAATGGCCCCTGAGACCCTTTATAATGGTTCGTATTCCATGCATTCTTCTCTATGCATTATGGTACTTGAAAACCTACCAGTTTCTGTTATTTTTACCAACGGTAAATACGCCGATTAATTCCATGAAAATGCGTGTTATTAAAATTTAAAAATACAAAGTCCGTTTAATAAACTCACTGTACGGTGATCTAGGATGGAAAGGTGTTTTCTCACTCTGCGGAACTTCGGCGACTTTCCCATAGAGCTCGCTACTTGAAGCCTGATAAAACTTAACTTTATTCTCCAATTTGCAAGTCCGGATAGCATCTAACATACGTAAAGTACCGATGGCAACCACTTCACCAGTATATTCACTAAGCTCGAACGACACCTAGAGAAACATCAGAGAGATATACATGCAAATACCTTCACATGTGACTGAGCAGCCAGATTGTATATTTCGTCCGGCATAACTTTACTGATGACTTTGATTAGTGAAGAACTATCAGTCATATCACCATAATGTAGGAAAAACGTTTCTATTAAAAAGCCGTTGGTTATTCACTATGACTTACTATCCTTCAAAGCTTTGTTCTTCTCATAGATGTGGTTTACTCGACCCGTGTTGAATGAGCTTGATCTTCTTATTATGCCGTGAACCTAAAGCGTGTATTCATTAGTTAAAAAATATATATTACAATGTAATTCATTGACAGTAAAAACTCGGCCAAATAGGATCCATCCTAGGAGATACAAACATAAATAATTGAACTAACTTGACCAGTTATACCGGTTATTAGTGCCACCTTTCTTCTTGGAGCATCACCATTCATTATTTCACCACAGTTCATCGCCAAACGGTCGAAATGCTTTCACGCCCTTGAAAAGTCCTTTTATCACTATGAGTGCCACAGTAAAACAAAATAAAACAAGTAGCCTTTAAAACAATCAATGTAAAGTAAAAATAAAGCTTTTTGCTTGAAAGTTTGGGAGTGATGATTGATTCGTCGTTCAAATTAGTGAAACCGTACTTAGATTGTCACTACACTCCTGAACAGAAAAACATGGTTTCTCATATCTGAAGCCGACTTCCTTGAGCATCATATGACCAATTTGTCCCCTAGCTCCTTGCAGTCGTAAGCGTCACATCAAGTGACTGATTAAGTTTGTTCATCTAGGCGGTAAGTAACTGTTGCGAAACGCCTAATGCAACCATTCTACAAAGAAATAGTCTCTTCAATTAGCAACGTCTTGATGAAGTCTTCCAAAATGCTTCCGATTAGGGGCAATTTCGGCCATATATGTACGTCTGTGAATGCAAAGGCCTCCAGCCGATGAATTTTCAAGAATTAACACCCTAGCTGGTTGTCTCCACCTGGGTTAGAATCGTCAAAGCAGGCACTTCATTTGATACTTCAAAGTGTCGTCATCGATTATTCCGCTGCTTCAACTAATTATTATTATTATATTATTATTGTATCCTTTAGTTCCTAGAGGAACATAGGGCTTCAGCTGCGCACCTCCATTGACTTCTGTTTTTTGACAACTTTTTCACCCTGCTCCAGGTCTGCCCACATGCTTTCATCTCCTCTTCACATGACCTCCTCCAAGTCACCCTTGGACGACCAACTCGCCGCCTCCCTTTCGGGTTCCACTCGAGGGCTTGTCTAGTGATGTCACTTGTTGGTTTCCTCAGCGCATGGCCAATCCATCTCCATTTCTTCGTGGAAATATGGCGACAGCCAATCAGTGAAGGTTTTTCGATCAGCGGGTGAGCCTAAGATGTTTCCACAGAAAAAAAAGAGTTATGTTCCTCTGTGAGGTAAATTCGTAGGTCAAGCAACCCTTTCCTTGAGGCTGCAACATATCTCAACTTTCAACTCATGTGACCATTCGGCTTAAACACACACTTGTATCGAAATCGTAATATCCATGGCCAGAAACCTGAACGTTGCAGCGAACGCTCCAAATATAGACGGTGTTCAAAGAATGTAGGAAAATGCCACGCCGATATGTGTTATTGGCAACCTTAGTAGGTGGAGATATCCAACCACTTTGTATTTAAAATGCCGATTTTAAAACCATGTAATAGGCTTACACCCGTTCCGAAGTTAGCACCCTTCCTGCCATCATGGTAGATTACAAAGAACCTACCTTCAACCTACAGGCAGCAAATGTAAAACCTATTGCTATGTTTGGGAGGAGATGTGTCTATTAGCTCTGATTTACTCAAATCTACTCAGTGGATTTTCCTTCTTCCCAACGTATCTATGTCGACCATGAGCACGGACCTAGCCAAGTATGGTGATCTGCTGGTAGACTTCGGCCGAATAACCGGTATTACAAAGTCTTCCTGTTTAGGGATTTCCCTGGGAAGGTCAAAGTTATCGACAGTTGTAAAAACCACAGTCCATCCAACTTTTGTTTTAAACAGCAGTCACGAAGACTGAGGTGATCGCGATAGCCTGGAACCAACATACATGGAGTACAATATTGTGGAACCTGCCCAAGTCGTTACGCTAGACGCCCTCTCCCCAACAGGATGCAGCTAGTACGCGGAGAAGTTGTCGGCGGCAGGAAGGGAAACGAAGCCATTAGCGAGGAGAACATGGTAGGGCCGAGCCGCGACGACCCTTAGCACCTACATACTTATCTTCCATGATTGAAGGTAATTTTTTAACTGCATCGTGCGCAATAGATTAGGTGTATTTTGTATTCTAACTGTACGAAAAAATGGATCAACTGCCTATAAAATTTTAGGATATTCCACTTTTTATCATTTGGGTATGCTTAATATACATCTGGATTTGACGAATAATTTTGGTATATGTTTTTCGATGAGGTTCTCAGAATTCCTGTTTTGCTATACAAATGCATAAGGCATCGTATGCCTACAACCACGGGTTGGAAACGGAACGAAGTCGATATTCCTGCGAAACCTGAAGGACAATTGTACAATTCAATAACTATACGGCCTGGTTCAGACAATGAGTGTATAAATATATGTATAAAATATTTAACTGTTGAAACATAATTAACTTGTAGACAATCAACGATTTGAGATTATGCCATACTTGATCGTGTCTGTAAAAAATGGCATGCATTTTCATGTAAATTTATATGTTTATATGAAAATATAAATTATTATTATTAGAAGCAGACTAAGCACGAGATCCATTGGAGGGACATCAACGAAGTGATGTACCTACACCCCATTTGGATAGGCAGGTGACCAGCAAGCAATTTATCCTCACCAGAGCCATCAGGTTACTCACACTCATGGCGTTGTTACTACCATTTCACTTCCAGTCGGCTCCGCCATGAGGTCTTCACGACTCCACTGGGGGGGGGAGTGGGCTGTAGCTGTAATTATCCGAAATTACAAGCGCACGGGATCCTCCATCCAACACTGGATGCTGACCACTACTGCTTATATTCATTCATCAAGCTGAAAGTTCGTGGCCAAGCATCTGCAACACTTGGCACGCTTTCGTGTAACACACACTCATTAGTCCACCAACCCTAGCCAGCTAACGAAGTATCATCGTACTACGATTCTGATCCCTTAACATGTCCCTTGTATGCGACTAACGATTTGGTATTTTTACTTGCTGCTGGTCTATGGATGGAAATACTATAGAAGTTAGAGGATAAGAACTTGCCTTTTTATACGTCTCACGTTGCATGGGATTCAGCATCCCTTCATCTCCAAGAAAGGGTACTTTTGAATCCGTTACATATAAGAGAGTGTATATATAAGTCAAAAACTTCTTCATATTAGCCGCCTCTTCTGATAATAGTTTATTCATCTTTCCTACTCGTTTATCAAGATATTGTATTCCTGAGGTCTACATTATTACATCTTTTGTTTCTTCCACAATGTTTCCAAAAACTAATCGCTAAATGAGCGTAAAATGTGGAAATTAACTGCTTATAAAGTCTGGTTTCAATGTAGCTGAAGATTGAACGATCAATCCATGGTTGTTTGCTCAAACTCAGCCCCATATTTTTCGCTGGATTCATCAATACTGCAGTCATTGTTCCATCGTCCACTATTTGTTGGAAGAGAGATAAAATATTAGAAGTATTACTGTGATTTATTGTTGTGACATTTATTCTTAGACTTTTTCTACGATAACTTAACGGTTGGCTCTGCATTGGTACGAGAATCAACGTTTCTTGAGTCACCAATTTGCGTCGTGGTTTATATTGCGTTTGTTATTACGCAGAGTTTCTGAAAATCTTCCAAGGACAGCGTGAGGTCCAGTGTAGATAGACCTGGACATTCACAGATTCTGATAGTTTCTGACATATTCTGATAGTTCTCCATGAATTATTCCGCTTATTTATTGTCTCTCTTCGCGTCTGCCAGTCTTCTTTGAACGAGTGTAATTTGTAAATGTCAGACAACTCACAGAAATTGTCAACGCCCAGCTCTCACCACGCTGGACCTCACATTGTCCCTCGAAGACTTTCAGAAACACTTTGTATTAGCCAACGCGAAAACCAGAACGCTGATTGGTGACTCGAGAATCCCTTATTCTTACGCCAATATGTAACCAACAATAAGGTTATTACACAAGGTCTAAGAATAAATATTGTAAAAATAAATCATGATAATACTTCTTACAGTTTTGGTCTGACTTCTTTCTGAACAGCGAACGATGAGACGATGACTGGTGGATTGATGCCTCCCGCGAAAATATGGTGAAGTTGGGTTTGAGCAAACAACCATGAATTGATCGTTCAATCGCCAACTACATTGACACTCCTACGCAAAAAACGGATTCATCCCTCTTTTCCACCACGACCAACACACGTTGACTTGGATGCCATTGCGAGAACCTGGGTCACACGGACAGAGCTGATATGGAAAACAAACAGAAAAGCCAACACACCACAAGCATGCTCATAGCACAATCTCACACATCAATGAAGACCTCCACCTTCCAGTTAAAGGTGTCTTCTCGACATCTTGCAACATTGCCTCCACTTGCTAGAATGACTCTTGCAGAATGCAACGTGACCGTAGCACCACCTCACGATACTCTACGCACATCCTCTTATCTACTCACTACCAGTTACCACTGCAATCGCTTGTCACTCATTCTGCCTCAGTTTTAGTAACGGTGACGTATGCAAGCCACAGTCGTCGACACTCTCGCTCCCCGGCGTGTGGGACCGCAGCTGACAATTATCTGCGTATGCATGTCATTTTCAGCACTGGCCTCCCCGGCGTACACGACCCATCTGCTGTCTTTAACGTCAAGCAATTCATTCACGGATGTAGAAGACTCGAAACAACTTCAGAAGTAAACACGACGAAAATTTTAACAAAATTATGCCATAACAACAAGATACGAAAGCAACAAGTGAACACAATGAATCCAAACACAAATTGACATGACCCACCACACGTATACAGAAACAGTGCACCTAACCTCCCGGATAATATCTCGATGTAATTCCTATAAAGAATCGCAGGACTTAGACCAGTACGTTTGTAACCCTTCTCAGGTTGACGATTTTAAGTTGAAGAATGTCCAGACACAAACAGGATCAACCAACAATCACATTAATTGGAACCCACTCAATTATTCAACACAAACGTATGTACAGTCAATACATAAAACGTTGTGGATTCTGCTTTGACGAGCTTTTCTTGAAGAACTATAGGAATGACAGCAGTACGCCTACAAACCTTCTCAGGTTGGTGATACAAGTGAAATACGTCCGTACTCAAACAAATTTACGAACAGATAGATGAGAGATGATACCAATTCAGTATATACAACATGAACATATGTACAATATAACACACCAAGTGCGATGGACTGAGCTTCGATGTACTACGCTTGAAGAATTGTAGGACTTACAACAGAACGCCTACAACTCTTCTCAGGTTGACGCCATAGGTTGGAAAATCGTTGCAGAGTTCATTTACTGACCTCCTTCTATCATCTATATCCTCAACTTTGAATGGTGACACGCCCATGTCATTGTATCATAGAATATAGATGA